TGCGCAATTGTACCATGGCCATTAACGCAACCTCCTTAACATAAACATTGCTTATCAAGAACACGAGGCTAACGAACAAAGTTGGTGATGCCTCTGACAAAAAAAAAACTGTGTTGCATATTTCCATGAATTCTCTGAGTTAATATTATAAATAAAAAATATTTGTTGTTTGTTTTTAATGAATAACCTGGAAAAATTCTCAATTAATTTTAAAATTATTTCACCTACAAAAAGTTACTATCGCCAACCCAGAGATAACCCCACCAGAAAATGCTTTTGCCCAGCTCAATATACTTAAGACGACATGCAACGAAATTACTCTACCCCAAGAGAGCATCTCCAACTGCTCTGCCCTCAGTAACAGCTAACAAGCTCGACATGCTTAAGACACAAGACCAGTTGTTACTGTCAAGTGATATCGAGCCTCTGCTTATCCTGAAATGTCGCCTAGTGAAGTTATATTAGTAGCTCGTATCGAGATCCATCAGACCAACAACTGAACAATTAGTCTGGGCACTGAGACAATCTTAAAACACTGTTTTTTGTCCCTTGGGAGCTGTCTGACTTGTCCATTCAGTCCAAGTCTCCAGAAAACACTGCAGCCTCTTGGGCTTATTAAGTTTATTTTCCCATCTTCTCATGACACCCATTCCATCAGTCTCGTTCCCTTTACTAGTTTGTACAGGTTCCGTGTTGGATGTTCGTCATATTCTTCTGGACGAAATTTTGTATGTTCATATATTGTCTGCCTGGTTAGTACTATTCAGGATTGGAGTTAAATATCCCATTCAAGTGGTCAATGCCATTCAGGAATATAGCTGAATGCCCCACTACAAATCAATGAATGTTCATATTAAAAAATTAACTTTCATAAATTGCTATAACTTTCACCTAACCTCACCTAACCTAACCTAACCTAACCTAACCTAACCTAACCTAACCTAACCTCAAACATAAAATGAATCTATTGAAAACACTTTTCTCTCACCAGAACAAAAATGGTGTCTTAGGACGTTTGTTTAGCTGAAAGTGTTTTTAAGAGAACAAGGGCACAATTAAGAAGCAAATTTCGATAAATTTTTTTGCTGTCATTAATGTTTATTCCACTATTCACCAAGTTCCCAATTTTTTAATTCCTCAATATTCATATTTGTTGGGTTAAAATATTTTTTTAAGCTTCCGAATCAGGCAGGGCATCACATATCTTTGGAAGATTCCCACATTTTTTTGAATAAAGATGAAGTAGAAAGCCAAAACCTTTCTCCAATCAGAATGTTTCAAGATATTTTTCACTAGATGAATGAAAGCAAAGCATTTCAATCCATACAATGAATTGATGTCAAGATTTATTTGTTTATAGGAATTAATTTGGAGATCATTATTGTTGAGTTCAAAAAAACACGTGATAATTTATACTTGAAAGTTTTAAGGAATCACACGTTAAAAAGTAAGACCTCGTTAGTCCTTAGCTCACACAAGTTTCTCAACTTCTGAGAGTTGTCGTTCTTATAGGGGCGACAACTGATTAATTAGTGACTATAACCAAAACTAATATCAATTATGGTTATTCAGAATAAACTATGTTAAGGGTATAAAATATAGCAAATGTCTTGTTTACAATTTCTTCAAGGGAAGCAATTTGTTTTTTCAAAGTCTCAAGTTTAAATCAGGTTAATTTATCTTCTATATGAAGTCCAAGATATTTCAGAGTTATCAAATATTTAACAGTTTGATTATAGTATTTTAAAACGATTTTTCAGAATTTGAATACATTCAAATATGTCATACCAATAAAGACAATATTCATCATCAATATTCGATGAAGACATATGATCATCGATCATTTAATATTTGATTTTTCTGTAAATAATTGATTCCATTATATGGTGTGATTGGAAAATATTTCAATATTCAATTTTAAGATCAAATATGCTAATGATTTGATATAAACAAGGAACCTCAGTGAACCTAGAATGTTACCCTAAGGAACTCCAGATATAATTGTTTCAGAGAATGAATTGTTTCCTATCAAACAGATAGTTGCTAAACCACATATGAAAAGTTCCCCTGATTCTTAATTTGTATGATATACTTAGAATGATCTTGAAGTTTTTTCAAAGATATTTTCATTTTTGTCCATGACTTTTTGAACATCTTGAATGAAAGTGAAAATCCAAATACTTGCTTTAACCGTTGCTGATTTTGTCAATCAGACTTGTTCCGAAATAAATTTTTATTCAGAAATCACATTCATACAGTCCTGAATTTTAAAAGTATTTTGTCACTTTGTTTACTTGCAAATAGTTCCATATCATTAGTATAGCATTTAGAGGGTCTGACTTACCTATGACTATTAAGCGTAAGAGTTTGCGCAGATGTGTGTAGACTCAACGTGCCTGAGGAAGCATTCGGGTATCCCACTGCGCCGGAGTAAGCGTATGATAATTTATTATTTCTTGTTCTATTTGGAGGTACTGAAAATAATTATGAATATAATCCATTTTTCAAATCCAGAGATTCTATTTTTTTATACCAAAAACTACATTGGAAAGTTAAGCATTACGAACTGTTGAAATCATGAAATAATATCGTCAACTATATCTACATCAGATTTATTTGCACTTTCTCTTCAAATAGTTACCAAATAAGGTTTATTTGATAGTTTGATATATGAAACAACTGTGAAGCTCATGAAAGAAAAAAAGTTGTTAAGAAAAAAAAGCTATTTAAGATTTGGCAATAAAAGATTTTCGATAGCAATCACAAATACATTCGTTGAGTTGAAAGGATAAATAACTTTAATTTTACTTATTGAAACGGCGGGCTCAAATCAGAATCTTATTTTGTATGAAATGTGACTCTGACAATCAACAACAGTCATTTTTCAAAAAATTGTGAATTTAGATTATAAATTCATAGGCAACACTTCTGAAAAAACTAAATTGCCATATAAGGTTCTTAAACAATACTAATGACAGAACTTTAGTAAAAAAGTTGGTCATGAGTCTAATTTTAAAGTCTTTTCAATGGAGATATAAGTTTCTGTTTCAATACCCAATGTCATCTATGATCTGTAATTATTGATGGATGTAGCCTTTACTACGTCTGAAAATGTCCTTATAGGACGAAACTGCAGTAACTTAGTTACAAAAGTAAAAAAACATAGGAAGATTTATTTCTAATTTTTCAGTCTGTGATTATCTTTGTAAAATATCTCATAACATGTATCTTTTTTCCAAAATAACCATCCATAGGACGATAATACAACCCCACTTTGACAATTGTGCTAGCTTACTGTACCTGTTGGACAAAAACTGTTCAATGACTTTACGAAATGAGGTAATGAGAATCAATCTGCAATGCAATAAATATGTTCCAATTGATCTGATGTTAAGAACTTTGAACTGGCATAAAGTAAACAAACGCCTGTTTTTCATGACAATCGTGTTCATTTATAGAATAACAAAAAAAGTTACGTATAATAATGAGATCCATACATATCCTCACAAGAAACGTGAACAATTTCCATATAGCTCAAACTCGAAATGTAAGCTCAATGAAAACATTATTCTTCAAGGCTTAAATGATTTCAATAACCTCTCAAATGAAGTGAAAAATTCACTGTCTTTGAATTCATTGAAAATTCATTTGAATGATTTCATTTCACCACTGCACATGTAAAAAGATGAATTATGGAAGGCATGTGTGTGAGTGTATGTGCATGTGTGTTGCTCATGTATACTGAGTGTACATGTGTATAACATGTGTATAATTTAATCTCTGATTGTGATACTATAAGTATATTTTTATATTTTATATTTAGGCATTTTTTATTTAGCACTAAATATTTTTATTACTAATTACAAATATTAGAAATGTATGTAAATTAGGATGTTCCTATTTCAAATAAAAATTATTTATTTATTTATTCTCATACAGGTGTAACCTAATTACATGAGAAAATCGTTATAGATGTATCATAAAAGAAACTAAAGCTATACGTAATAAAAAAAAATAAAAAAGTAACTAATCCAAAATTATGACAGAGAAGCTGTTGATTGACACTTAATATATAATTTTTCAAACCAGGAAAAAATTCCATATAGGGTTGGACAAAGCTGAGTTCGGACATTAATAGTGTATTATTTGTGACTGTCAGCATCGTTATGATTTCTACCGAGCAAGCTAAGGTGATAGCAAAACGCATCTAGAAATAAAAAATGTTTGTGAAAACTGTTCGATTATTATGATTGTGGCAGACTATTCCAGTTCTATTCCAGACTATATACAAATTCTCAATATTTAAAATAGTACTCTTACTATATAGTACTACAATATACATTGAGAATGAAAGTTTCTTTCAAAAGGCATGATAAGCTAAAAACATATTCTGAAATACTTAATGTTTTTCATCTGTTGATTTCTGTATCCTATATGTCACCAACTTATGTATGATGTACTTATATCAAGTTTATAACTTGTATTGTATGAATATATGCAGCAATTTTTTGAAAATGTTTTCTTCAAAGAGCAGTATCACCTGGGAAATATTTAAACTTATTAAGATGAAATGTTGGCTCTTTTGATAGTGGTTTACAAGATGTCATTGGCGGTGTAATAATATTTATACATAATATTTATTTCTGAACTGAAATTGTTGAAGTGCGCTGATGATATCCAGAAAATCAAACTAAACTAAAGGGTTGACTGCCCCAAGTCATGGTACTATTTTTATTTAGGTGGAATTCCCAAGGGAGTTTCGGGTCTTTGAAAAAAATAATCATTTATCAAACTAAACTTTTCCGCTTATGTCATCAATTTCTCCTGCAGATTCGGATGTATTTTTATTAGTGATGTACCGAAGGTGGAATTCAGCCGGAGGCCGAAGTCAGTAACTCCGGCACTCTTTGGCCGAAGTTACTGCCGGAGGTAGGCTGGAGACTGTCAATTGTCATTAAATCAGGTGCCTGAACGTCAAAAATAGTGGGCGCTGAAATGTCAAATATTTTGGTGTGAATGCCTATCTTCGTTTATACGATGATCGTAAATAATTTGAAGATATTTTGACAAATATCTTCTACATGGCAATACATTCCCCAATTTTCACTTGGAACTTATTCATTCACACAAGATTTGGATGTATTAAATATAACAATAGTTCTTTACAGCTCCATGTAAACATATAATCTATCAGCTGATTCACACCAAAGATGTGAAAACACTTTATAAGTGAAATTACTTCAATTTTCATATGATACTTAAGAGTTATTTTGTATTTATGATTTTCGTCCATGAACTATTCATTCATGAGATTTGCTCATCATTAATTGTTAGTTTTCCTAATTTGGTGGTTTTTATAGTAGATAACACAGGTTTCATTTTGTTTTCAATTCAATTTTCAATCTCCAAACTCGTTTTCACATCATTGCTCTTTTCTATTCCATTCTATTTTTCGGCTGTAACTATGTGAGACTCATTGGTATTTTTTGCTGGGTTCTATATAAAAAGGGCGATTTAATTTTTTTTACATCTATTCATTTCACAACATATTAGGCATAGTTTCTTATATATTTAGAGAATTTGTTGATTGTTTGAGTATTCGTCTTTTTGGGGCGGGGACAATAATGAAAAACATTTTTAATAACGACTGCAATTTCCTCTCTTTATCTATATCTCTCTCAACAATAAAATTAATGTTGAAATCTCCACAAATGAGAAATAAATTGTGTCAAAGCTATTTTCTGGTTTTGCTGGCCAGTTGATGCCAAAAGGAGCAGATGTCTGTGATAGAGCAAATAATAATAATAATAATAATAATCGTCTTTATTCATCGGCATAATATAAAAAAATTAAATACAAAAATTTAGAACAATAATTAAGGGTCAATGAAAAGGTGAAGTATCTGGGATAGTCTTCTTTACCTGGAGAAAGAGGCTAGATGGCCAACATACAGAAGTGTAAATATTGCCAAATGCACAAAACAGGCTTATGTGAAGCGTAACAGACTACTGGCAGCATTCTGTGAATGACTTTTGACTTAATGCCTCCAACTGGCAACTAAGAACTATTTAATAAAGTCCTAATCTCAAGTAAAGACGATTGGATCCTCGGGGAGAAGGAAATCCTACATTCATGCATGATTCATACATGGATCAAAAACCCCTTCAGGCTCTGGTGCAGACCCAGGACAGAGATATTAACCTGACTAGGGACCTATGCGATCATATTTTAAGTGGAAATCTAAACAATTGATTTGTATTTGGATAGAGTGGTAGATATCAACCCTTCACATACATCAATAAAAATGTTCTCCTACAGCCAGGAGAGTTTGGAATCACTTGGCACTCACCGAGCAACACCCAAGTTGGTACCAACATGAAGTTAGTAATCATTCTTCAGCGGCTGTTTTTATGTAGTAGCCAAAACATTTTTGTTAACAATTATAGCGAAACTAATGCTTGTTCAATTTAATAATCAATACCAAAAGGCGGTTCATTTTGAGGTAGAATCAGACAATAGTTTATAACTAAACGAAGTTTCCAAATATTCCATCTATATCTATTAAAATGAATTCACATTCAGTATAGTCACTTTGGAGAGACTGAATAACAATATACCGAGAGATGATTCATTTGGGAGCCGTCTAAGGCATGTCTTATACATGAACTAAATTTTCTGAAATTTCATTTACATACTTGAAAATGTTCATACTTGGTATAGACTATTTAAATAGACCGATGAACAATAAGGCAGGAGATTATCCATTTGAGAGTCATCTGAGTGGTTTATACAAGAACAAAATTTTTTGAAATTCCTTTTATATCCTTGAAAACAGTTAGTCAGTTTCATATTCGGTTTAGACACTTTGAACCGATTGAAAAATAATATACCAAGAAGTGATTTATACTTGGAAATGTTCAAAACTTTAAAGGTCATCACGATTATCGGAGATGAAAATTTATTCAGTGGGCTGTTTTTTCTTTCAGTAATAAACGGAATAGAAACAGGTTGTAGCGAAATACTAAAAGAAACTGAATCATCCCCAAAGCAATTTAATCATGCATGTCATATTCTTCTGAATATAATTTAGGTTGTCCATAAATTATTTGCCTCCTGCAAATGCCCCACATTTGCAAAAAGTATGACTAGCTGTCTTTTTCCCTTTGTTGCATTACCTGCAGTTAAAGTCTCCGTATACAGCCCCATTTTGTTCAGGTGTCCTCTTTATGACGAGTCTCCACTGAGTGGTCCTGTGAATGTTCTAAGCCAATCTCTGCTTTTTTGAGCTCATGAGCCCCCAGTACACAGAAAAATACAGCAAAGTAGACACAGAAATGATAAAAAGACCAACGCAGGTTTGCATAATGCATAAAGACTTGCCTCCCTAGATGAAGTTTCTGTTCCATGATGGCGAAACAATAAAAGAAACTGTATCATCCCCAAAGCAATTTTATCATGCATGTCATATTCTTCTGAATATAATTTAGGTTGTCCATAAATTATTTGCCTCCTGCAAATGCCCCACATTTGCAAAAAGTATGACTTTGTCCCTTTGTTGCATTACCTGCAGTTAAGGTCTCTTTATACAGCTCTATTTTGTTCAGGTGTCCTCTCAATGACGAGTCTCCACTGAGTGGCCCTGTGAATGTTCTAAGCCAATCTCTGCTTTTTTGAGCTCATGAGCCCCCAGTACACAGAAAAATACAGCAAAGAAGACACAGAAATGATAAAAAGACCAACGCAGGTTTGCATAATGCATAAAGACTTGCCTCCCTAGATGAAGTTTCTGTTCCATGATGGCGAAACAATGGCCATACAAGAAGAGAGAGAAAGACGGTCCCTTTATAAAAGTGTTCCCGTGTGTTTCCTGCTATGTTTTACTAGTATGTCTATGGTTCTTATAGACTTACTTTTCGAACAAGGGGGTCTTTACACCCTGCTTGGTTTAATGATAACAGTCGTTAGTTTCATCTTTGGCCACCAGATCATAGATGCATATGTTATCATGGGTTTAACCACTCCTTAAGCAACTCTCAAATGAATCTTCTCTCGGAATATTGTTTCTCGATCTACATTTTTAAGGATATAAACGGTTTTTTTCAAGTTTTTTTTTAGTATAAATTACCCCTTCAATAGAACATGTTCAAAGTGTCATATTGAATATGAACCTAACTAATTATTTTTGAGGATCCAAGTGAAATTTATGAAAATTATCTTCAAAAATAAACTAACCTATAAGACAGCTTCCAAACGAATCATATCTTGGTATAATTATTCTTCAATCTATTCAAAAGGACTATACCGAATATGAACCTGACTAAACATTTCTGAGGATATTAACAGATTTTTTGACAATTTAGTTTAAACCCCTCCTTAGACAGGTCCCAAATAAATATTCTATTGATATATTGTTTTTCAATCTATTTGAAATATCTATACTGAATACGAACCAGGCCAAACATTTTCATGGATATAAACAGAATTTTTGAAAATTTCGTTCAAATATGTGTTATCAATTTTTTTGATTTAGCGAAAGATTTTGATTCAGTGAATAATTAAATTATGCAAAAGATGTTTTAATATCTTCTTCAAATGTTTTGCTGGTGGGAATTTTTTATGAAATCATTTATTTTAGCGTACTCAAAATTGATATGAGAAAATATTTTGTGGGGCAGAAAATGAATCCTCACCCGGTGAATGATAATTTTTAAAGAAGAATACAGAATTCCTTCAAATCATTCGTGGATGGGGATTTTTTCTTTATATAAATTCATTTTAGTATTCTATCCAAGACAATTATATCAAAATATTTTGTCTGGTAGAAAAACAACCCCCACCTCATTATCACAGAAAAATCCATAAATCCTTCAACTTTTTTGTGGGTGGGTATTTTTTCCACGAATGTATTTATTTCAGCGTACTAAACAATACCCATGGAGATTTTTTTCTATGAATGTATTTATTTTAGTGTTACTACTCAATAACATGTCAAAATACTTAGTTCGTGTATGGAAGATGGCACCCGCAGGTGATAACGGTGATTATACTACTCAAAATAATTATGTAGAAATGTTATTCATCCATCATGTGGTACTAAGAACAAGATGAAATTGATCAAAATGTGTGATCTAAGAGTAAAATTTGTGATGTAAGAGTAAAATTCTGTCAGACAAGCACAGCAATGGAGAAATTTATGTAATTAACTAGAAGGACAACGGACAACTAAATTAGTTACTATAACTCAAGCAAATCATCAATGAGCAAAATGAAAATAAAAAAGTATTGTGCAGAATTTATTAGAAGAAAGAATAAAAGAAAACAATAAACAAATGAACAAAAACACGGGGGATAAGAAAGAAATAAAAAGACATATTCAGGCACCATTAATTTATGAAGCAAAAAAAGCAACACCATAAACTACCAGTACTCCGAAAATAAACAAAGATATGAATCATCATCCATTCTCCTACCAAATACTTCCACCTCAAATCAGAAATAAATTATTTCTCACCTTGACAAGGAATAAACTAATCTCATGAATATAAATCTAAAAAATTGAGAGGAATTTAATCAAGCAGAGGCTGAAAAGTGAGAAAAAAGGTGAATAAAAAACCTAGAAAATTATATAGAAATACTAATGGACAAACTGAAGATGGGAGTGGAAGGTTCAGAGGATGGCAGCCAAGAGTATGGATGTTCTTATACAGAGTTGTTGTAGATGTTGAAAAAACTGATATTAAAGAATGCATACAGGAAAAGATAGGACAAAACATAAATGATTTTACTGTAACATTCCTGAGGGAGAAAAATGGTTTCAAATGTTTCATGGTAGGTGCTCATTTCAAGTATAAGGATGAATTTTACAACCTTAGTTTCTGGCCCAAAGAAGTAGGATACTGTAGATATGATTTCAAGACAGATGGAACAATCACAGAAACAAGGATCTTTTTGAGGAGGGATAAACAACAGAATGATGACAAGCCAAATGAATATACATTTATGGTTGAAGAACATGATGATTGAACAAGTAACCTCCTAAATATATTGCATTTTAATATACAGAGTCGAGCCCTTCAAAAAATAGATGGTCTAATGCTAATGTTAGAGAAATTTCAAAATGACATTTGTTGCACCACTGAACACTGACTAACTTTCGAAAAATGTTACTATTTTACTCCCCCACTAGTGGGGGAGTATGCATATCTGGCCATTCAAAACTTTTCTTCAGTGGTAATATAAATATTGATTTGCTGTCTAATAATAATTCCACTAGACAAGTGAACAGTTTGTTCAATGAATTCAATATGGTAAATGTAATCAAACAATCTACATGCATACAGGGTAAATCAAAAACTTTATTAAATAATCTACATAGAATTCATAGCAAAACTGAGGAGTTTTCTTTTGACATTTTGCAGAACTTTGACACTAATCTGAAGGAAAATGACTTATTGAATTAGCTGAAACTCTGTACACATATTTTTTAGAAAATGTGGCACAAAAATTATAACCAGATTGGGATAGGAGTTCATGATAAAAAACCACATTTAAGCAAAAATTATAATTCTAGTGAAATTTTAAACAGGGGAACTTTTACTAACTTGATTGTGGATTTTCAAAAAACAAGTGTTTTTTCATTTAATTCCTATGAATTTTTACTAAGCATGTTCTGAAGATACATTTGTTCGCTGAAATAATAATTTTGCCATATTCAAAACAGTGAATTTTCATCAACTTCAGGTTGTGAGAATTTTTGTTCATCATTTGTGCCATCAAATGTGTCATTTCCTAAAACTGAAGATTTCTTTTGTAAAATAAACTGACCAGCAGAGAACCAAGATAACAAATATTATGGGCACAAAATAGGAAATCTTGATGAAACAATAACCTGTTTCTCAATGCAAAATGAGCTGAAATAAATGAACAAAGAATCAAATAAATAAATATATTTTCGTGAACAATAACATACAGTAAATACTAGTAGATAAGATATAAATCAGAGACTCACCTTCAAAACCGAACTGTGTCACTAACCCATTAGCGTTGGTATGTAAACTATTATCAGGATTACTCCTGACACTACGCTCCTGCCCACCGCTGGATACTGACGTACTTACACTATTAAGCTTAGGACTAGTAGAGGTACTTGAAGAAAGAACATTTTGTTGCCTCACTGCAGCAGAACAATCCTTTTTGACTGAACAACTTTCCGAACTGCTCAGATCCGTCACGCTAAAGTCTGTACAACCTATAGTTCTATAATCACTGTCATTACTAGAATCACTTAGCACAAAACCGTCACTATCATTGTATAAAAAGTTACTGTCACTACTAACACTAGGTATAAGCGTATTGAGAGTAGACGATGACGGCCCCGATAAGGATTGCCTGGTGTCGGTGACGGTCGTCTCCAATTCAAGGTTATCAAAAGTGAACGGATCGGTAATATATGTGGAAGTGTCAAGGAGTGTGCTGCTAGGCGCTTCCAGAGTCTGGATCTCCATGGAAAAGGGTGTGTTGGCACTGGGATCGAAGAAGGTTTCCTGCGACAGTAACATGTTACACGGTGGTTCATAGTCAGGAGGTGGTGTTTTTGGTCGAAAGTGCAACCTGAAAACAAGGATATTTTAAATATTCAAGTAATTGAATATCATTTTTATAAACAGTACATTCAAAACAATTTCCTTCAGATCAAAAAAAAACCAAAAGGTAACAGGTTTTTATTCTGCAACTCTCCACTTGGCAATAATTTTTTCATAACAAAAAACTCTTTGGTGTAAATTTTTGTTCATTCATCAAAGAAACTAACCAGTTCATCAAGAATTAAACAAAAAATCAATGGGTTCTTTGTTACCTGGAAGTGTTTGTAAAAGTTACTTTTTCCAGACAACTAAGACAGACCTTCCAGTATGTCAGTCTCTTGTCATTTGCAACCGCTAATGTTGAATGAATACTTCATCATATGCACCAAGTAAAGTATTTTTACTAACAAAGTACCATAAAAAAGAATCAATTGTTACATTACTAATTGTTAGTATGCTCTTTCGAAACAGATTTTCCCCAACCACAAGCCAACCATGTATATACCAATCAGAATAGTCGTCATCATAATTGTAATACTCCAATATGTCTAAAAGTTCTACTTCTAGACAGACAGAAATTATTTATTCACTTTACATATACAATATAACAAGTCAAAGAGGTATGACTATTTATAATGCTAGTGAAGTAACAGAACATCAATAAAATGAGTATATATTAAACTTCAAAAACCAAGAACTAGTGTAACGTTTAAATTGAAAGCTATTAACTTGTTTGACTATATTTCAGTTTTTTAGGACTTTGGGTGGCCTACCTTGTTATCATTTGTATTCAGTTCAAAAACAAAAAGTGGAAATGTTATAAATGAACTGTAGTACATATTTTAAAGTTTTGGTTCACATTGTGATTTTATTCATGATGATAACAAATTTTCACAAAAAAAAACTCATTTTCAATATGAATTTCACTGCAACATTGGCTTCCTCAGTTGGAGTACTTTACAATGCAATATATACAAACAATAATTGACATTAATTAAAAGAGATTAGAAATTGGTACAGGTAGTTATAACATCAGGTATCCACCCAGCAGGTGGTGAGAGATTAATTTCTTGTTGGTCGTTCAATAGGAAATTTAATTTTTAACGTTAAATTATTTTCAGTGATTCCAGCAGGTTTAATTTTTTGTCCTTTATTTTCCGTATGAAATACGTAGTAGTTTATGTGGAAGTTGTGGTTGTTTTCTAACAGATAGTATGCATAGGCTAAATTGGTTGTTATAGGCAAGGAACAATTATGATGATATAAAAATATTGTGTAAAACACATTCTACTTTTCCTCAAACGATTCTGCACTATGAATATCAACCCATTCTTAGTTTGCTAAAACAGAAACGAACCTTTCAGTATTTTTGCATCAATGAAAATTTGCTTTTGGGAAGTATTGGAAGATTTTTTACTTGTTGATTCTATCACGAAAGACCCTACTTAATATGTATGATCGGATAAAAATTAATACTTGACATATGTATCAATAATAATAATAATAATAATAATAATAATAAATGTAATTTATTGGTGAATCTCAAAAGGCCATCAAGTCTTTCAGCCAGTGTACAATTTTCAGATATTTACAGTGATTTTTTCATATGCTTACATAGTAGAATTGGGGTACATTTAGATTTGTTGAAAAAGAGAAAAAGAGTCCATAATAAAATATGAGAGTGATTTAATGTTTTCCCCTCACAAATAATTTCCAATAATTCCGTCAAATAAGGCATTTTGCCAGACTTCTGGAAATATAGCTTTGTAACCCCTATATACAAATCTGGTGCCAAGTCTAGCTAGGGGCCTTGTACAACACGGGGCTCTCTGCGGTCACACACTTCGCTCACCCCTGGCCCTGCCACTGATCAATTACATCCACGTCTAGTGAGCTGTGATCTTGATATCCCACCAAAAATACCTCACTAGTGACATAGCACCTATGCCACATAATTCACACCTAATCTAATATTAATTTTTTTGGCGTGAATGCACATGACATATCAATTATGAACTATCAAGTATTGATAAGATACCTTTAATTTTTATAGGCACTTGTAGTGTAGTGGATAGACATGTTTCTGTGTGTCCTGATAAACCTAGTTATTTTACATTATAAGAACGAAAATGGTGGTTACTCATGCAAAAGTTGAGGGTAACAATGAGAGTCATTGACCGTTAATCTCGAAACACAAGTTGCACAAAAAGCAGTGGGTAACCGTAGAACAAGTCTCGTGGGAAACAGTTCTTTTGTTAACCAGAATGTGGATGATTCAAAATTCAATAAACTCTACTTTATATGGCATTATGAAGCTAAAAAGTATTTTCAAGTGCCCTATCCCCATTTTAGTAGTGTTAAACCCTGTGGGTTCAATGGATTCCCTTTTTATGATATTTGCCAGATCCCCATTGATAAGGATCATTGGTTTCCCTTGGCCTTGTTAACAGTTATTGATAAAAAAAACAAAAAAGCAATATGGTAAAATTCTTCATCTACGCCCTAAAAAAGTCCCCTTAGAAGTTACAATTCAATCATGTGATGACATGTTGGACACTAATTTTATGCTTTTGTTGAATGTTCAAATAAGTATATGAACAAACACAACATTTAATTTTTTACTTTTTGACCTCACTTCAGTAGATTGTAAAAAACCCCCCTGAAATGCAGTTTGTCATTTTTTATTTTAAATCTATGATCAAGAATTTCTTGTATTAAAGAAGGAAAGAAGTCAAACTCACCAATCCCTTCCAACTGATCGGAGGAAATCAACCATATCATCTTTTTCCTCTCTGGTGTAAACAGGCTCTAGAGGTGCTATGCCTTCTTCTTGAGCTCCCTCTTGCTCTCTCTTAACTTCCACCTTAATACTATCACTACTAACACAATCGTTTGTCCGCAGCAGATTGTTACTACTTGAATTACCAACACTGAGTTCACTTTTAATATCCGATGGGGAAAATGAATCGGAGGTGCTGGTTTCCACTGATGTAGAACTTTCTCTACCTGGTTCTGTAATGGAGAAATCCAACATACGCCAATAGTCATCATAATTCGTTGATATCCGATCAAGGACAATCCTACCGCCTCTGCCAACCCTTCGTCTAGCAAAACCAATGCATCTTCTTGGGTTTGATAGGGATGTTAGAGTGAAACGGAATCTCTTGTCAGCCAATCCATTTTCTTCTCTGGAACACCAACTCCAGTTCCCTTCTTCTGATAAAGGCTGAAAAAATAAGTAATTTCATTGTCACCGTCAAATTAATCTATAGTTACACATAATTTTTTCAAGTCATGATAACAACAAGTATAACTACTGTTGAATGTTATCTATCAATAATGAAAGTGAACAGTGACAATTTTGAAATAAAAACTGTTGATCACTGCTAACAAGCTTAAAAATTATTCTAGCTTTTATCTTGGTGTCAGAATTCACACATTTACTAACTGTTAATTTCTTCCTCAATTCCATTCAGAATGAATTTTCCATTCATTGCAATAATATAAATTTAGTACTTTACACAGCATATAAGCCCAAACAATTACGAATACAAATTAAACATTCAACAATATCCATCACATAATGATACACATGCTTTGGTATCATGTTCCAAATGCTCTCGCTTGATAATGTGTAATTGAAGAAACAAAAACCAGACCAACAAATATATCAAATGAGTATAGTCGGAGGATCATGTTAGATCAGGGTAATTAGCCTATGTGACATAATTTTGGTTATCGTTTTACACATAACTTGGTAGGAATTATAGACCTTTAAATTGAACTTCAATTGTATGAACATAGATTCACAATGAAATATTTTCATATAAGTAAATACAGGAATCTTCGATATGATTATACTGTGAATAAAGCAGACCGTACGTAGCTGCCTATATGTTGGCATTTTTAACCAACCCTATAGAAATAATTTGTTGGAGATACTTTCTCATCTTCCACCACATGAATGAGGCATACACAGAAATTCTGTATCATTTCAATTTTTTACTGATTTCATTAAGCAGGGGCCTTAAACAGAATCAGGAAAATTCATGATAGATAAAATCAGACTATCACATACGATAATTTTAATTGCTTTTGTAATTAAGTTTATTTTTCCATGGGATGGAAGCTAGAATATACTGTACAGAGAAAAGCCTTCATTTCAGTTACTGTCTTCCAGGTTTTATGTATGCAATCTCACAATGCGCAAGAAACATCAACTCAAGGCCTCAAAAAAAATAAACGGATAAATACTTTCCCAGACAGCCACGCTGCACTTGCGAACCCAAAAGTGACATTGAGAGTGGTCTGGGAATGCCTTGAAGAACAGAGGAAACTGTCGGACAGAAATGATTCACAATATACTAGGTGCCAGGAAAGTAAAATAACAAAAAAGCTGATGATTGTGCCAGACAAGGATCATCAACTACAAATATAGGCTCCGACCCAGCCCTGGGGTACCCAAGTCTTTTATACAAAACCAGATTGGAAAGTGGGTCTGTAAGAAACACACGAGTACTGAACAAAAAACTGCTTCAATAAAGTAGGAATCAGCTCAGGAATATTCCAGGGCTACTCACTGGATACTGTCCATTGGGAGGACACCTGAAAAAAAATAGATCTGTACAACACCATATTTTATGCTAATGTTATGCACTGGATCACAGAAGACAAACAATATATGATCAACCCAAATTACTCCCAGAAGAATATGACATATATTCAACTAGGGACTTTTACACACTAGTACAGGGCATAAGATTGTTGGAATGGTTGGCAAAAGATGGCGCAATAATCCCATGAGGCTGCAGTATCTTCCAGAGGCTTGAGAGAAACGGACAAGTCATTCCTAGGAAATGTCCTCTGGAAGGAAAACATATTAAAAACAGTAATTAATTTTTCAAATTTATACAAGTACCATGAAAACTGGAAACATACCATATGGTAGGAGCACAATTTGTTTCTACGGAAAGCAAATTGACTTTCATCTTCGTCTTCTTCTTGATTTGAAGACACCTGGGGGACAGTTGTTTCCTCATCAGAAGACAGCCCTGTAACAGAATCGATACCATAGCTGCTCGATCGACCTTGACCCAATGACTTGTGTTTCCTTTTTTTGTATTGCCTCTTTTCTCTTCTTGGAATAACCTGAAAAAAAATTATTATTCATTTTTTGCAAGAAATAAATTCTTTTCAACTTAGAAATTACTTGCTAAGAAAACAAGCTAGGAAATGTATACATAGACATAATATTGCACAGTACCCTGATAAATTATACAAAAAACTGATTACTCTAAAAACAATATGCTTACGACAAAAAGCTCTCAAATTGGAAAAAGTTAATCACTGTTTCTGATATGTTGACCTAATTGGTCATTTCAAATTCTGTTCACACAAATTCATTTGTGTGAACTTGAAGATTCAAGACATTTTTCTGTGATATTTAAAAAAAATATATAAAGGTGTTTTGAGGGTTCCCAGTACCAGTTAGGCAAAGCTGAACCTCAGGAAAACATAATTTGGATACAGTTACATGCATCCTGCATAAGTTTACATCACATTAATCGTTTGAAAAAATTAATTATGCATATGTTCTTTTCAGGGAAGATGCTATCTTGCTTTTGGAACACATATTGCTGTACAATTGTCATATTGTACGAGGATTATCCTCTACCCTTATTAGAACATCTAGTTGCAAGTTATCTTTTATTGTGGAAATTTGCACTTGCATTAAACAAATTTGATTCTGATTCTACCTTCCTCCAATAAACATTTTGGCTGGATACTATTTCAAAGGTTTGACACAACTTATGATTAATAAGTGTTAATAATAATAGCGAAAGAAATAAAACATCATCTAACTAATGACAAAGTGTCTATTGAAAATTCAGAACTGAAAAATATATATCACTCCATTTCAGGATTTCTTTCAATGTAAATCGAGACTTTACAGCAATTAATTTGAAGTTAATAGATTTGGCAATGACTTCAAAAAATGTTACAATCACCTACTTATTTACTCAGAAAACTATTTCAATATTCATTTCCTCTTTCATAATTAATTCATTATAAGTGTAGGTAACATATGCAACATATTCAATAGATAAATGGGTATCTGAGCACATTAAGTATTTTACCTGAATATCTAGTAGGTTAATGAAAGTAAAACTTAAATATAATTAAAGGTGGTGATAGGAAATAGTGACAGTTTTGATCAAGCTTTACATTTAGTTACAGTATAAAACCTACCTCGTCCTTTAAAATAGCTTTAGTAGCCCAACTCTGGTTCGGGTAATGATTGTGAAAGATAGGAGTGAAAGCAGGCCTAGATGACTTAATGGCAGACGCCTCAGCCATAACTGTCCCACTGAAATCTTTAGCCTGAAATCGCTTCTCAAAAACCTCCACAGTTAAATGCACATATTCCCTTTTGATTTTCTCGCGCCGTTTGACAAGCTCCAGTAATGTGACAGCTCTGTACAAATCTCTCCGTAGTTTCAGCATTTTCTCATAAGATGCCTCATCGTTCTTTCGATTTTTTCTAGTCTGCATTTTCTCTGTTCTTCGTCTGAATGCTAGGTAAGGATTATTGGCTGCTGTGCCAGATCTATGTTCAGTTTTAACAGTCAAAATTAGAGGATGTTGCTGAAAATTTTCAATTATCATTATTTACAATCGAAAAGCAATACTTACAAATTTCACAAATTCAAAGATCTAAATAAAATTAAATTTACCGTTTTCAACCGTTTATTCAACCAGTAATCGAATACTGCTATGATGAGATCATCGTCTTCCTTCAATAATGCTTTTGCCTCATTCAGAGTAACTACAGTTTGTCCACTACTCTTTTCCAACCGATCCATCATTTCTTCAAATTTCACTGGGCTCAGGTCCAACTTTTGTGTTTGAGAATGTAACCATCGTTCGTCTTCAGAATCCATGTCATAGTCGGGAATGTCCTGTTCCATTGTGAATGCTAATAAAAAACAATTCAAATTCTTACTCCAAATATTTGAAACAAACAACTTGACCTTATTAAAAATATGTTATTCTTACATATATTGTAAATGTCTGTGCCATAAAAGCAGAAAGTAACAAAAAGTTGAAGCAAATTCCAAACTTTTCCTTTTTTCAATCAAGTATAGAATATAGACATAAATCATATTTGTTGCTAGTCAAATACATGATGATGCACAATATCAGTTCAATATAGTTTTTCATCACAAACGTCTTACACAAATTGAATACATCTGAAAATTTTAGTTCTATCCCAATCCTGATGAAATTTCTCTATTAAAAAATTATCATGTATTGAAGTAGATAGTGGAACTCTTACTATACAGTGTAACCAAAAGTTCCATTATTGTCATACATCTTTGTTGTCTGAAGAGGATTTTTTTTCAAATTTGTTATGTATATACAGTAATAAGTAAAAAATATATTGATAAGGTCATTTTTTTCACTTCAGATTTCAATTTTTAATGGGACAATAAAATATACTCAAAAATACTAAAAATAGTGTTTTATAATTAGAAATCTATTACGATCTTCATCTGCTAAGAAAAATCTACAGCCATATATATCTGTGGATTGAACACGCTACCTGAAGTTTCACATTTTTTGTATAAAACTTTCTTTCCCAGATGGTAGGGAGTAGAAACACAAAACACACAATTATTATATATGTTATCAATTTTTGTATTTGTATACATTTGTTCTTCATTTTAAAATATAAATTGTGAAAAGTCCCTAAACGAAACTGATGTTGTCTTCATACTTTGAATGTACAATGGCTGTATTTGTAATTTTTATAATGTAATGTTTTCTTTCTTTCTATTACAAAAATATGCTTTTAGAACAGCTTCTCCAAATGAAAAACATGGACATTTGCCCTCCACCCATTTTTGTTCAACTTAAGGAACAAAAAAATTATTAAAAATAATTTCAGAAAAGGTAGGTCTGGAATTTTCATGACAACTGAAGATGTGGTGCTGATAGTCAGGCAAGCCCATCTCAGTACACCAGGGCTTCAACTGAGCCATGTCACATATACTTCATTTTATTTATTTTTTTTATTTACCTATTATATTTATATTTGTATCCAAAGATGAAGAATAAACATTATTATTATTTTTATCAACTATATTTAACAAGGTAAAGGTTTTGAGAACAGTGTCATCAGAGTTATTCAATGATTGTTTGTATATTTTCATTTTTGTAAAAAAAAAAGATATATATTATCACTAATTGTTGTTGACAAAGGAAACTGCTGAGTGAATTATCAACCATATATTTTGACTTAATAAATTTCATTCTAGAAAATTTCATTTCACAAAGTTGTGTAATGAATCTATTGTAAGGCCTGAATTTATTGAGTTGGAGTAAAGTTCTCCTGTGAATCAATCAAAAAATTTCAATTTCTTAAATTCCAGTTGAAAAAAATGCTCTGTTTCCAGTCATGGCATCCTACCTCTTCTTCAATTTTATCAAAGTAGCTAAAAGGTTTTGGAATTAAACAATTATTTGAGTTATATTGAAACTTTGATAATTTCTTCTAAACTACTTATTGTTTAGAGATTGAAAAAATTATAAAATGTAGCTCCATTTTATTTTTAAATTTTTGCATGTAATCATATACATAAGATCAAACATATATTCGGGAGTTTGTTAATAATATTTGTTATTAAATTAGTATTTCTGTGAAGGAATATTTTTCTTATAATAAGTTAGTTACAGTAAGTTAATGCCACATCATTTTCTGACAGTATGATTATTTATCTATGTCTGTTCCATACTATCGACTCTGCCATTTCATTTGACTAAACTTTCATATATGAGCTACCATTAATTATTGAGTTGGTTGTCATTACTATCGTATTAAATTTTTAAATAAACTGAAATGTAATATACTCCCATTTTGATTTTTTTCTAAGTAAGATATGACAATAAAAAATGTTACTATTGAATTGAATTCAGGATTTGAACTAGCCATTGAAAAATGGAACTTCTAAATATATAAAGTAAACAAGTATATTCCTAAAAGAAAATTAACAAAAAGAACAGTGATTTAATGGAATTTATTTTCATGTATCAAAACTGAAAATTTTTAAAAATCTGTTTCAATTTGAAGAAGTTAAGATTTACCAGTTAACTTCAAATGCTTTCCCTGAGATAAACTAGCAACAAAGTTCAACTTCATAATTAATGATTATGGAATGTTTTTTTTAAAGAATAATTTAAAGAAATTCTGTAAAAACAAATATAAATCATTTAGTTTTAATATTTGCTTAAAATAAAAACATATATTAATCAATATAAAACAATCATAAAAAGCTGATCATTTAATTTTATGCAGCATTGAAAGACAAGCTTGTTCAATTTGTCATTTTAATCTTTAATAAATTGAATAGAAGTCAAATGAGCAAATGAGAATACTTTTTCTGGATCAGAACATTTTATTCAATTGTGTGTTCTTTTTTCAATAAGAACAGTCAAGAATGAAACTGTCAAAGAAGTCAAGTTTCTTCCATGTCCAAAGTTTGCTATGATTAAAAAACAATCACAACAAAATTGTTTTTTTTTTCTGAACAACATAAGTTTGTGATGAAGAAACTCTGCATTTAGGAACCTTATATAATGTCTTACGTTGCATGTGGATGAGCTGTCGGGGTTGCTTGTAATTTGCAGGATAGACTTTGTCGTAGAACTCTTTGCATGGTATGTCTGAGACTTCTGGGGTTGGAATGATGAGACCAGCAACAATTGCTCGTTGAAGATGGTGCTCCTGTGGATGCATAATACTACAGAATGTAAAAAGGTAAGAATTCATCATTCGATTCATAACCAATAATAAACAATTACCCATTTTCATGCTCATATGTAAAAACGTAATGACAACTCAAGAACAGAGCTCGAGTGGATTTTAAATTGACAAATAGGCGTAAATAGTGTTTTTCTTTGCTGGAAATCATTGTAGAAACCGACAATCCTTTAGGAAAAATAATATTATGCCGGTTGCGCATGGGAGCGCGAATATTATCAATATGGCCGCCGACAACTATCTAACAAATGCCTGGTGTCAACTCTGAAAGCAACTTACACATTCTTCCTCTTTTTGCATCCCTGATGGCATTTGAGGAACTGCCCGGTTAATCGCTGAATAATCAGGAAGATCCGGGAGTTCCTCAGCCATGTAAATAGGCATGGGTTTGCTTGCATCCAGGGCCCTCGCCCTAAATGAAAGCTTGGACATATTTGTTGACAGCACAAAACACACGACAAGGCCAACATAAAATCTCCTTAAAACCAGCTTCCCGATGCTCGGGCCGTCCGAGACGGGCACTAATCGAATTTTCGTTTCCTCTAGTTTGTTCCCATTGTTTTTATTTACACGCACTCAGTCACAAATACGATAAAACAACTTTGAAACTTTCCATGTTGAGCGTGTTGAGCTGAAAGCCATCATGGCGGCTCTGCCATGGAACCATGAAAATACTAGGAGCACGCAGTGCGCGAGAACCGAATACGCACGTTAAGGAGTAGATACTTCATTCATGGTGAAACCAGGAAATCTTGGCTGTAATATTTTCGTATTTCTCACATAACATCAACGAAAATTATAATTTTGACTTCCGGATTCGCAAAACAACAGAAACTGACAGTTTTTCAGCATACATGTGCAAAATCCACGTAAGTACTTCACTTTGAGCAACACGTAAGAAAAATTTGACTTGACAACAATGATGGAAAATTTTCTGCTAGGAAAATATAATATATTGCCCATAATTAATGTAACATGTAGTACGTGTTTTATTTATTTTAATGAAATTTAGTCAGCAATTTTCCAATAGTATTTAAAATGCAGGTTATTGGGAATAAAATACAATAAATTCTTGATTATTCCTGTTTCACAAATGGAAGAGAGGGGATACAAATCATATCATGACGCCATGACGTGACCGTAACATATAGTGGTGGGGATAAAGGGGAATGTTAAGGAAGTGACGTAACGGAACTGAAATACACGTGAACATTAGACGAGTTCTTTAATACAACAGAAAACTTCTGATGGATTCAGATTCAATAGAAACGTGTTACTATTTCGAAGGAACCATTAGATGAATCCATCATATCAAAAAATGGAATCATGGGTGAATTTAGGAATCTATTTTCACAAACGTAGATAGATTTTTATAAAATTAAGCTCATAGAACTGAAACTTATAAACTTCTATGGAGAAACCACTGTTCTGTGAATAAACTGGATGAGCTGTACCTTATACTATACAAAATCTATGTCAACTTGAATTTGGGTGCACGTGCACATTGATTTACGTCATAATATTGATAAAACTTCTTAATTTAACTTCTTAATTGCGTTGGCATTGGAGTAAATTCATTTTCTATAGATTTTTGTTATAGTTAGTAGGTGTATAATTATTTCACGCTTGAGAAAGCTATTGTATACCAAAACACGTGTCGCCGTTTTTTGTAAAATCCTTATAGTGAAAATCATACAATAAACTGTATTAATGAGTGCTAGGTATAAGTATTTAATAAGGTATAATTCTGAGCAAATAAAATTGAGTCATAAGTTGAAAAACTAGTAAATGAGTTTTTTTATCAATAACTAAAAGGAAAGTTTTTGAATATAATACAACCATTTGTATTGCTCAGGTCAATATATTTGAATTTTCTAGAAGACAATTGACACAGGGTAGTTAAATACTGTATAAGGTGGATTGAATTAATTCACAAAAAAATATATACACAAAATGAAAGGCCAAAACATCTTTTTGGACAAATGGAACATATTTGGGGTTGATTTAAAGCTTTGTTTGCTTATTTCTCTCAATACCAATTCTATGGCTATTACTAAAATGTCCAGAGCATATCCTTTGACCAGTCTTATGCAAAACATAGGTAATGTTATCCAAAAGTTCTCATCCAGTCTTTCTTCGAGCGTGCAGGTATTCTGAAACAAGGAAATTCACTTTGAAATTTGAAATTATTCAAATATATATGTAGAGATCCATCAACAATGATTGCATATTAGGTATTTTCGAGAAAAAAAATCATTCAAGACTTTTGCCCGGGAAATGAAATGTTCTGGCTTCCTGTACGATTGGGACAACTGTGTATATGACACTTAATAATAATAATAATAGGTTTTTATTTCTCATAATTAGTTGAGTTTTTCTAAAAATTACATTAATACTCAACTTATTATATGGTAATTACGAGAAAACGCCGAAGATCAGGTGACCAATGTATTTTGTAAAAAGTACATTGACCTCTGTTATCATTCTCAAGCGAGGGAGATAACTAATACATTTTATTTTGAATCGCACTAATTAGCATCTAATTCTATTTAAAACTAAACAATCACATAGTTACACCAATACAGCTTATAAATACAAGCTATAAATTGAGAAAAAACTAATTTATTTACCGTAAATCATAAAAGTCATAGCCTTATGACTTATGAAAAAAAACTAATTTATTCACAGTAAATCTAGTCATAGCCTATCATAGCCTAAGTCATAGCCTATCAGTTTCCAATGTCTATTCAGACATTTGTTTACTCAGAAGATATGGTTTCATTTGTTTTTGTAAAGCAAATATATTCAGTAACTTGAATTTTTACGAAAGTGAATTATAAATTCGTGATACTTAATAAGAACACGATCTGAAAATTGTTGTTCTGTGGATGGGAGGTGTCACAGTTTCCTTGAATCTGATATTTGTTGGGATTTTCAGTACTTTAGTACTAAAAGCAGTACTTTTCAAGAATTCATAATACGTCAGTACTTTATAACAAAATACAGTACTTTTTAACTAGATCTTTTTGAATTATTTATCAGTCAAATCAAACATATGATCAAAAGTAATGAGAAATATCAAAACATATGTAATTTTAAGAACTCAGAAGTCACAAAACATTATGACCTAAAAAAATAAGAAGAAGAACTGGCCCTTTGCATTGACTTGACAATTGACAACTGGAGTCTGAGTGTTTTGTTTTGAGATTTTTGACATTGGTTTTTATAGAATATTTTAGCGATAATTTAAAAAAATATTATTTACTGCTAAAACAACCAGAAAACAATGGATAGGTAACCGGCATGGTAGACAAAAAATTAGATTTCACACTTTTTTTTCAGATTTTTGCAGATGGCTTAAGAGGATATTAACATTGCCTACCCAGGTCACTAGGTTGATGACCTAAGCCGTAGACACGTAAAAAAGGGCTATTTTTTATCAAATCAGTTTTCCCATATGACAAACCAAAAAATACCTCAATCTGCTAGTGGCCTCAGCAACTGGGGCTATTCGACTAGTTGGTAACGGATGTCGTTTATAAAGCCAAACGTGGCCTCACTTAAAATGGATTTTAATGCAACCTATTCATATAGTTGACATATGACAAAATGCTACAATGCTCTTCAGAATTAAATAAACACTACGCAATAACATTTCAAAAGTATTTTATTCAAAATGGAGTCATATATAGGTAAAATTATTGTGACAGCGTGAAATGACAGTGGCAGTTATGACATAATTCATGGTTGTCATAACTGTCACAATAATTTTAGCTATATTTGACTCCATTTTGAATAAAATACTTCTGAATTGTTATTACTTAGTGTTTATTTTTGTTCTTTGACAGTTGCCAATGAATAATGTGGTTTAAATATTGTGATAATATGAAAAGATATTGACAGTTGATTCAGAAATCATGGTTGGGTAAATTTTCGTTATGTGGACACCCGGCGATTTTGAAAAAATTTTTGACTGTACTTACGTATTTTGATGCGTAGATCACGAACCCGAAAGAAAAAAGCGGCGCTCTCCCTTATTTAAAAAGTTACGGCCCTTCAAAGTTCAGAAAAGGGCAACTTTTCAGCCTTCTTTT